CTTCTTGGAACACGCCATAAGTATCGTACAATAATATGGCGTCTGAATAATAATATAATAATAATATTTTATTCAAGCCTCTTAAAAACAAACACGTACAAGAATTCTTAACACTAGTGTAATAATTATCTAGGAAAGATAACCAAGCAACAAATATTAGTTTACATTTATTCATACCTATTAAGTTTAAGATTTTAATGCTAGTATTTTTAAGTTTAAAAATTCATTGTACTAAAAGATCTGAATAAAAGGCTATATTATTATTATTATTATTATTATTATTATTATTATAATATACATGGCTTTTTTATGAGGTATACAATAACAATATTTCCTGACTTTTATGCTAGGAAAACCTGTGTTACAAAAGTCAAAGTTCTAATTTAAAAAAAATTAAAACATCATTGTATTATGTGTATATATCTTTCGTGGAGGTTCTAAGTTCAATAAAAATGAATTCAATCCGCTAGATATTACGGCGAACGAAGGCCGCATGTAAATCCCATGAACTATGGCATTAGCCTCGTGCCAAGAACCATGGTAGAGACGGTCTAGACCTCGCTCGTTTGGTCTGGATCCAAGGACAACGCCGACGCTCGCATACATCTGTATCCGCGTTAGGGACGGGAGCTTCTGTTCAAAAGCTTATTTGATTTGAAATATAAAACTGTGAGTTCGTTTTTTAGATTAGGTAGGAATTTTGTAATTTGCTGAGGCTTTGGTGAAAATTTAAGCCCGATTGCGGTTGCGCTTGAGATATTTCGAGAAGTTCGCCTGATGCTTGCTTTGTTCATCAGATAAATCCAATGATTGATATATATTCAATAATATATGTATATTTTATATCTAAAAAGACAAAATGCAACTAGTGAGCACAGTATGTTCAGCTAATGCTTTTTGCTGCACGCTGTGGAAGAAAAGCTTCCGCTCCGTGTGAAGACGTGACGTCGTCAGCGCTAACTGCCTCAAGTCTGACTGCGGGGATCGGACACTCGGTGAGTGGCAGAGCGATGAGGACTTGTTGAGGGTTCAACTTCTACACATTCCTCTTACAGCAATAATACGTGAACTGATAATCTGCCGATTACCCATAGACACAACCCATTGAATATCATGTCGGATCTTCTCAATGCGTCGCAATTCCTATTCAGTGGTAGATTCTGTCAAGCATTGCTTGCTAGTGCTAGAAAATTCTCTGAGGTTGAGCCCAAGAGCTCACCTATCCGTCCGCGCGTATCTGGAATAGCCTCTTACGCTACTAGCGAATAGGCTGGGGAAAAATTGCCGATTGAACATTCAGATAAAGTTACTTCTTGATCTTTCCTTTAGACCAGTCTATCACTATTAATTTTAAATGTATTAGACTTCGTGCATACATTGATAAGGTTGTGAGAGCACATAGTTCAATACCACAGTCAATTCCTAGTTTGGAAGCTTGTGTTAGTTTTAACTCCAGCATGATGTAGAAGATGTATCAATAATGTTTATTATAATTTCAATAAATCGAAAACACCCTATTTAGGGTTCCTAATAAGGTTCAAAATAAATGTCAATTACAATAGTTTTATCGATAGCCACGATTATCGATTGTCGGTCTCCACTAGGGCGGCCTATTCTGTCGTAATTTAGGAATATACAAAGTAATGAAACGAACACTACTATGAGAGAGTAAACGTTGCCAAAAATCGTACACAGCCCCATACGATAAAGCATGTCCGGAATGGGGTCTTTTTTTTTTTTTTTTTTTTTTCNTGGCAATAAATTAAAAGAACTTGCACTCACCTGTAGACCTTGCCAGTGACTGTAGTGCGGGCGTCGGCGATGGAAGCACGCGGGCGGCGGGAGGGGGTGACGAAGCTCACGTAGCTTTTCGTAAGCACAAGCACCACACAATATACAAGTGCCGCCATCTAGGCAGCTAGCGGTAAAGCGTGATCGATCGGGTAGAACCACGCTTTGGATAGTCGCGGTAATTAGTAACTAACAAACTCCAAAGGTGGCGCCATTCCAATAATTCACTAGCATCCTATTACTAATCCGCGCGTAACCAATTATAATAGATACGTATGAAATTTAACTTTTCTTTTTATTACATTGACGAATCAGTGATTAAGTAGAATTTTCATCATTAATCGAACATTAATATTTCGAACTTTTAATCTCGAATTTAATAAATAAATTAAATTTCAATTAGTAATTTGTTATTTCGTATTTAGAAATTTGATGTTGATTGAAAAATGATTAAATACACCTGTCTTCCAAATGTTGAGTGGGCATGGGTCGATCGCGTGACGCCGAGGTGTACCCAGCAGCGCGCAATGCGGTCACGGGACGTGCTGATGTGCCGGACCTCGAACCCACGTCTCGCATGCTTACCGTGCCAAGCCGTACCATCTACCAATTATAATTACGTTCCTCTAAGACGCATTAGCAGTAGCGCAGTCTACCTGGAGATTAAGACTCTGATTCTGACTGACTGAACAGAATTAGGCAAATGGCTACGTTGGTAAGGAGTCGGATCGAACATATACCATCATTTTAGTAAATATGTTAACATGATCGTCTCAATTACGCCATACCTACACTTGAGAATATTATAAAGTCCAGCAATGAAAATATATACGTTTTTTACTAGATTTACAAAATGCAAATATGTAATATTTAATAAATAATGAAGTGGTGGAGAATCGAATGAGTACTGACCCCAGTGCCCGTACGACTGGGTAGCTTTCTCCCGATCCCAGCCGTTCTCAAAGTTTCCTGGAACGTTTCATCTTCCCTGAGGTTCCGCGTGTCCAGGGCTGGAGCCACTTCATTAAACCCGGAATAAAGTTCGTCATCTTCATCAACAATGATGGCCGTACGAGGTTTTGCGTCGGTGCCCAGTCGGGACGCGCTGTAGTACCGAGAACTTAGCATCGCTTAAATCTCTTAAAAATAAATTTATCAAGTGAAATCTTATTGGAGTATCTCGACCTGTTTAATACGTATGTTGTGACGCCGTTGCCATGTCAACCGGCTGATATAAACAAAAAGACAATTGCTCAGTCTCTATGGATCAAACGGGTTTTTTTCTTGTTAATAACATTACTGGTGGCCCGAAGGCCTTTCTAGTTTCAGTAAGGTATCTAATAAAACCAATAATTATTTACGTATACCTAAATATGTAACTTTAACAGGTCCTATTCGTTGTACGATTCCGCTTTGTGCGGTAAAGCCCTAAACACATCATTTCGGATCCTCCTGATCCACTAACGGTGCTTTTAGGTACCTCAAGCACCGGTCATCTTTCTCGTCAAACCCATCGCTTGCGATACAGGGCTCGGCGGGTAAAGTAACTCACAGACACAGCCCACTGAGTTTCTCGCTGAACCTTCTGTGGGTCGGGTTTCCGATCTGGCGGTAGATTTTGCGAAGCACTACTCTTGCTAGGGTTAGTGTTAGCGTCGTCGTCGGGTTTGAGCTCCGTGAGCTCACCTAGGTACTTGTTACGTTACGCTGACATAGCCTCTCAAGACTATCAGCTTAGGTAGGGAAAAAAAAGTACGGTAAATGTTTTTTTCGACAGTCTATTGTATTGCCATGCTTGTTATGTATAATAAAGAGTAAAATATGTATTTTTTTATTGCCCTTGTAGGCAGACGAACATACGGCCCACCTGATGGTGCGGGCTTATCGTCGCCCATGGACTTCAGCAATGCCAAAGCCACGCCGCTGCCTACCGACATTTCACCGGAAGCCGAGTTGCCAAACCTAACCTTGGTGTGATTTAGAAAACAATATACACGGCGCTATGTCAAGCAACGATATAATTATGAACGGCCGCTGCGTTATTTCCTTATAAAATTAAAATATATATTGGATCTCTCGACATAAGGAAATATGAAAGTCAGTGAAACACGTTCCTAATGTTTTCCGAAAATTTAGTTTTAAGTTAATCCAATATCCGAATAAGAATTCTCCATTCAAAGTAAAACACTGTTACTCCTATACTGCGATGAAAATATAACAATTTGTATTTTACATTTTCATTTTTATAATACGAAATTTGATATGACACAGTTTGACTAACGAATAAACTTCCGAATGTTTTTTTCCCTTCGAACCATTTTTCATTGGATGTTATAAATTATTAGAGCATCCCGCGGTTTTGGCTGCGTTAAAATTGTAATTCAGAAGTAATAAATACATTCGGTCTATAAACTACCAGCCCTATAATGACAATTGCCTGGCAACTGTTGCTCTGCGTATACCTTGCTGTTATGTATGCAGTGGTGGATGAAAAATTTCTTCTCATATAACCGCTTACATCGTGAAGAATTTCTGAGCCGAATTTAAACGACGAAAAATTTTGATCTATTGATGAGTGAGATATATTAATTTAAAAATGCACAGACAAAATCACTGCTGCTATTCAATTTCCAGGAGTACTAATAAATTGAATGTCACCGCCTTTTTTTATTGCTTAGTTGGGTGGACGAGCTCACAGCCCACCTGGTGTCAAGAGGTTACTGGAGCCTATGGACATCTACAACGTAAATGCGCCACCCACCTTGAGATATAAGTTCTAAGATCTCAGAATAGTTACAATGTCTAGCCCACCCTTCGAACCGAAACGCATTACTGCTTCACGGCAGAAATAGGAAGGGTGGTGGTACCTACCCGTCCGGACTTACAAGAGGTCCACCAGAGGTCCTATCACCAGTAAAAATTTTGAGTCATGAGAGAGAGAGAGAGCCTGAATTGCATTGAGAAAACGATAACCCTATTTATGCCTATCGCGCCAATGAAACATGACTGCTTCTACCAGAAACGGCAGAAGAGTCGTGCAGTACATGTAGAATGACGATGTGCCCTTAAATCGTTTATTAATGGTTAATTTTTATTGCAAGGTGACACGCTTCATGATTATGAAGACATCAAGTGGGGTAATACACCGGACGGCTTACCGACTAGGCCTCGGAGGTAATAGATTTGTTCGCTAAGGTAAAAAAAAACCGTAAATTTTCAATCTCTATATTTAAAATTTATGACATGTTCAGTAATCAATACATTCAAGTCCATTTCAATATCGTCACACCAATTTAAACAAAATTAATAATTTCAAACTAAATTTAACAACTAACTGAAAAGATTTAAATCACATGACAAACTGGTACACCCTTCTTGTACAAGAACAGTGTTGGAAGACACTGAAAATTACAGATTCCTGTTTGACTACAGAAAAAATATCCGTCACAAAAAGTAATCTATAAACTACTACACTTATATAGTAATAATAAATTGAAAATACGTAAAACAATGAACGAACCACAACTTCCGCACGCCGCTCCTGACCGATCTTTATCCAATCACATAAACATTCTGAATAAACTGGATATAAAAATAAATGTTCTCCAAAAACTCTATTCGTCTTCGTCGAAAGCAATAACAAACGTTACAAACTATGTACACATTAATATGATTTTGCTTTTCATGATAATCCGATCGTATAGTCTACATAAATTATCAAATTAAAAAAAAAATAAGGATGTCAATTAATTCGTGACCCTAAAAGACTAGTTAGAAATGCAGTATTCATATTTTTGTACACTTTTTCGCTTATCATTAAGATAACACCAGTTTAAAGTAGCCTATAAACAGAGATAATATGACTTAGTTGTTAAAAACAATTGTAATTATGTTGTATAATAAGTATGTCATTTTTAGAATATTATTTACACAGAATTAACAAATTGTTTCCGATTCAAATATTTCCACGCACTCAGCACCATCCCAGCAGTATTGAACAGCACATAATAATATTAAATTTATGGCAATGGTTATACTATACATATAATAATAAAAAAATTGCAACTGAAGAAAAAAAATACATGGTTTAATTGACATTTTACACCGACATCATCCGATGCTCTCTATATAGGAACGTTCGGAGCCAAATCTAGGGCAATATTTGTATAAAAATGGATAGTCATCTATAATGTGCATACTCAACATATATGTTATATTAAAGTATTTAAGAAAAATAATAATAATAATAAAGTTTTCATTCAATATAATTAAGTAAAATTCATACAAATCAGTCAAATTTTAATGTAACAATTAATCGTATTAATTTTATCCTGACACTTCACGGACTGCTCAGAGTAAATACGCAATTGTAATTGTATAGCCTCTTTCTTATTTTATTTTAACGTTACAAGGTTCAAGAGCTTATTTATCAACATCAACGATTTATCGGATCCGATATAGATTCACAGACAGGTTGTCGGCGACGAATATCAACATTTATTTTATCGATATGATCAGTCCGTCAGTGATAATGTCATTGTCATAGTTCCCTATAAACAATTTTATAATAGTCCTTAATATCGGTGAGTATGTATCGGCGCGATATATCGTTGCCATGTCGGTGAACGAATCAGCCCCGTATATAACTAAAATTAGCTTGATAGCTGTCTTTGAACTATTGTCTACTGTACTCTTGTTAGGGCCACCGTGATCACATTTTATAAGCACCAATGTGTCGGAAGTGTCCAAACTGTAAAACTCAAACACACAGCACACCGTCACATGCACAACTCGATGAGATGCCTAATTTATAACACGTGTATAAAGGACTCAAACTTACAAGTAACGTTTCGCTTCGAACAGAATTGTACGCCAATATTACGAGTACATAATTATTATTTATAACTTATCATTATTAAGACTCCCCGCACACTAGGCAGCCTGACTGCGGCAACCGAAATATTTGAGGAGCCAGTTATAGCAGCCCATCGACGCCAATTTATGTTCTTTTCGTCGAGCGATTTTGACTTTATCTCGTAAAAAATGTGTCATATAATCAATATTTGGCAAAACGAATATGCATTAGCTGCTACAGCAAGTGTGCGGGGACTGACATCAGCCACATACATCCGCAAACACTCGCTCTGGCTGCCGTGCAACAGGCGCGTTTTATTGGCTGTCGCAGCCAAGAGTTCCGGGCTGCTTATGTGCGCGGGCTCCTATACAACGCCATATATTCGTCTGGCTGCCTAAAGCGCGGGGAGTCTAACTATGACCGGCTCCGATGCGAGCCGTCCAGCGAAAGTGATCTGTTTAGGTAAAATGAAATGTGATTTTTTTCAATGACGTCACAAGAGAAGAGTTAGCTAAATGATTGCGTTCAGCGTGCTTAGTGCGAGTTTTCTAACGTTCTCGATAGCGTAAAAGTTAGCTCATATTTGTATGGATTGTTTGCGTACGTTTGCCGCTAGGGGCGCTGTTCCAACTGCATACAAAATTGAGTTAACTTTTACGCTATCGAGAACGTTAAGAGACTCGCACTAAGCACACAGTCCTCGCGTCGCGGGGCGCGGCTATATCTGCGTGGAGAAGCGCGGCCGCGGCAGCTCGAACGCGTCGCCGTGCACCGACCGCGCCAACGCCTTCATGCTGGCCGCTATGTCGTGAGGCTCCTCCTGCGACATCACTCAACTTCACCACCGCATTACATACAAATATTTTCTATAACATTGTTTAACAAAATTTTATCGACATATTAATACGCGAAGCAAAAACTTTGTACCGCTTTTTATGGAAATTGCGCGGACGGAGGAGTATGAAATTTCGCACACTTATACAGAATATAGAGGAGTGCAGAATGCTAATTTTTTTTTTTTTGTGCATTAATAATACATTAAATCAATAAAAGAAACTTTACCACGTATTTGACACACACACATATATATATATTCTTTATATACTATCAAGCTTTTGTTATTGCTTACAGTCTGTGGTCAAATTGAGAATAGGTTAGGATAGGTTGATATTGTTTATCTGTAATGTTATTTGACTATATTTGTAGTCTTGGCAAAATATGTGGTTATAGAAGTATTTTGTCAACTATGACAATAGAACCATAATAATGTTCAAACTTATAATTTCAATTAATTACAGTCGAATTTCGACTACTGCGGGTCCACTAGTTACATTTATATTACAACCCGTTTTTCAATAAAGCGTGACAAATGCTTAATGTTAATTCAATTAATATGATTATTATTAATGCATTCAAGTGCACAAACACGCTGACTTAATTCTGTAAATATATTAGCTACGTACATCGTCAGCGTAATCCTGTTCTTGTGCCGCTCTGTCATTGGGGAACTTGGGCATGTTCATGGGCAGAGAGCGAGCGATCTCGGGAACGCCTCCGCCGCGGGGCCGAGTTATCTGCACGCCCTCGCCGGCGCTCTCTTCTGTGCGACACAACCGGACAACTTGTAGTACAAAACTTACGGGTTCATTGATTATTGTAGAACGACAGTTCTTTTACTTTCGGAATTCATAAAGTGTATGTATGTAGATGTTATATTTGTTTGTACAGGGGTGTAAATTGACAGAAACGGGATTAAAGTAATAACCTGACGTGAACTGAAGGCATCGTTTAAATAAATACTAATATATTGGACGGAAACGAGAATAAAGTAACAACATAACGTAGACTGAAGGCATTGTTTAAATTGTGGCGGGTAGCCATCATACAATGCAAAATATTTGACAGATGCCTGAATCTCGCTTACGACATGTTCAAGATAAGCTCGCATATATACAAGTTCCGAACAACAACATTCGGACCGTCGGTCTACCAAACAATATCACCCGCTCGGTGGAAGTTCTTCCCTTTGTCGTCTAAGCCTCTCCAAAAAATAAATACTAATATAATGGACAGAAACGAAAATAAAGTAATAACCTAACGCGGACTGAAGGCATTGTTTAAATAAATACTAATATGCTAAATACTATAATAATTGGGAATGTGTATATACACTATACCTACTTGAGACCTTAGAACTTATATCTCAAGGCTCCAGTAACCACTTAATACTAGGTGGGTTGTGAGCTGGTCCACCCATATAAGCAACAAACAAAAAGTGGGTTTGTTTGTCCTTCTCTCACGTCGGAACGAGGCAACAGATTGACATGATTTTAAATTAACAGCATTAGGAAACTACACTGACACTTTTCTTTGACAACACGAGAGAAGCCACGGATCGCAGCTAGTTTAACTATAAAGATATAGCAGGATTACGTTACGTGTAGTATCAGTCAGATCGTATCTCGAAGCCTGTGCGACATCGCGTGTGAATGTCCTCTGGCGTAAATCATAACATCAGTTTTGCTTTTTAATCGTTTCTCAATAAGTGGATTACGAATTTTTTTATTAAAACAATAATATTCGATCCCGGTTTTAAAAATAACTCCAATGCATTCATAGAACAAACGAGTGCACACGATTAAATGCGTGCTAATATGATCTCAGCTTTTATTTCATAACATACTATACGTATATTATGAAGTCGTCGTGGCCCAAAGAATAAGACGTCCAGTGCATACGTATCTAGCGATGCACCGGCCTTCGAATCCCGCAGGCGAGTACCAATTTTTTTAATGAAATACGTACTTAACAAATATTCACGATTGACTTCCACGGTGAAGGAACAACATCGTGTAATAAAAATCAAACCCGCAAAATTATAATTTGCGTAATTACTGGTGGTAGGACCTCTTGTGAATCCACACGGGTAGGTGCCACCGCCCCGCCTATTTCCGCCGTGAAGCAGTAATGCGTTTCGGTTCGAAGGGTGGGGTAGCCGTTGTAACTATACTGAGACCTTAGAACTTATATCTCGAGGTGTGTGGCGCCTTTACGTTGTAGATGTCTATGGGCTCCAGTAACCACTTAACATCAGGTGGGCTGTGAGCTCGTCCAACCATATAAGCAATAAAAAAAAATACACAATAATCTTGATACTAGATGCACCCGCAATCTACTTCATATGAATTACTGCAAATGATCATTGTGACGAAAAATGGACCACGGAAACATAACGAACCAATAGTCTATTATGCTAGTAAGCAGAAGACTACTTACTTACTATCTTATCTTATTATCATGTCACTCTTACCATTGCTTCTTATTTTATGATCCTGTCTATTTATAGTCTCACAGATATGTCAGTCAAAACAATATGTTATATTAGATTACCTAAAATATCGCGCTGTCTTTTTGTTATCTGTCAACGTGCCAACACTTTAATGTTACAATTTCGTAATGGTGTAAACAAACTCACCATCAGTCTCATAATCATCTTGATCTGATGGTATGTTGTGTCGCGAATCCGTATCTTCCAAATAAAAAAGAACTTCATTATCCAAGGAGTCATCTTCTTGAGGTGGGTTTCTGTTTGGCTGAAATGTCAGATTTTTTTTTTAAATATTTAAATAAAAATGAATGTGGCGTCTTGTGAGCCTACACATGGGTATATACCACAACCCTGCCTATTTCTTCCGCGAAACAGTAATGCATTTCGTTTTAAGGGACTGCTATCGTACTCTAAAAACTGAAACTTTTAAAGGTAGACAGCAGCATCAACATTGTTGATGCCTATGGGCTCCACTCACCACTTAATACTAGTAGGCTGTGACATCGTCTACCCATTCAAGAAATAAATAAAGATATAACTTTTACCTTAAAAATATTCTGAGCTTTTTTGACATCTTTGAAAGATGATAGTCTTCTTCTCTGCAATGGAGGTAGTTGCGGTGAAGGAGGGCCATTATCGAGGCTTGTGTCAACTCTCCATTCACATTCCCTGTCACTTCGTGCTTTATTGATTATGCTAGAATATCCAATTCCAACATTTATGCATTTAAAAAAAAACTGGTAACACAATAAAGTAAAATACGTAATTGAGAAAAGTAAAAAACATTTTTTGTCTGTATTATGATTTATAACAATTCGTCTTTCCGCATTAAAGTGCACAATTTCCAAAAATATTCGAAATAGAGTTAATATGCGGAATCATTTGGTATCACCAGTATTTTTCTCATAAATACTGTCAAAAGAGCGTAGTTTAGTTTTAGTTTTTTAGTTTACCTATGTTTTGACTACTATCAACAAAATTAATACATAACTTTATCGTACTTTAAAAGACAGATAATGTAAAATAAACGTTGCAAAGATGATTAATATTAAAAATATCACACATGTTAAACCTTTAAAACACTCTCCTGTAAAACTAATGAGTTTTGAGATAATACAATTTTAATGCGCAAAGATGAATTGCTTATGAATATAGAATATATTATAGATATAAAGTTGTATAATAACCTTGCCAATGTTTTATGATCCCTCTGAGCTCTTTCTTTATAAGCTTCAAATTCAGAGTACTTTTGTTCTCGAAACTGTCTCACAGTATCTTCGATGGCCTCTAGCTGTGATTCGAGCCTTTGATTAAGCTGTTTACTAAGAGTACTAATGACTTGGTTATTTAATGGCCAATTTTTCTTATTATTAAGTATAAAATTATTTGTATCCATATTCTCCTTCATTTCAATATCACTAGATAACTCTGGCACCAAAATATTAAAGACTGGTGAATAATTATTTGATTTCTTAAGGGAGTTTACTTGTTCATGGGTTGTCTGAAATTAATTTTATATTTTATATGATTAATTAATATTTAAAATATATGCAATTATATAAATTTTAAATTTGTATGCAGTATATTTACTGCAAGCATGTTAGTATCAAACACAATAGTTTTCTTACTAAACCAAACACTGTCCAATAATGAGAAATGAATTCAGAGTGCAATAAATGATGGTCATGTTAGCAGTTTACTTACTTAAAGTAAGTGTATAAGTTAGATCAGTATGGTTTTATTAACTTTCATCATCCCTTACATGTCATTAGCATATTTTATCAAAATTTAACTTTTTTAACTTTTGTGTTCTGTTTATTAGTATTTTATCAATTTCATTATTACTATTGTAAATCTAAAATCTGAAAAGAAACTGCATCTATGTAGCATGTATATATTACCAGTAATAATACATTTTTTGGGTATTATATAGCTTAATAAGTGTTAAGTTATTAACACTGAAGCTGAATATACACAACCAGTGAAGTTATGAAATGAAAAAAATATGTTTTTTCTTGTGTGAAAATATCCCAGTTCATATAATATGACTATATGCAATGCCAGTGTGATTACTGTGGGATTTTGCCATTAAGTCTGGCATACACTTAGACTCTCCTATGTCAGCGGGTGACCTATCCTATGCTTTCCTGTGTAAGTGTTATCAACTCTAAATTATTATTTCCAAAAAAGACCAGAAAATTAAATTGGTCTTGAGTATACAAAATACTTCACCATATTTTATTATTTCTTCTTCTTCAAAGCGGTATAAAATAATAATGTAACAAAAATCATTAGGCACTGTACATCAACAAAGTACATTTATGTAATGAGCAAAATATTCAATTGTTTTTCATTTGGACATTATTGGCTTTTAATTGCTGGCTTTATATTTATGGCTTTTTATTAATGATTTTTTTCATACCCTAATGAAGATTACTCTCTAGTGGAATACTTCTCAAGTTAGGTCAGTGGTGGTTAGTTAGGTAGAAATTTAGAAAACTTTTGGTCATTCTGCTTTAGAAATTATAAGCTAATAAATATTTTCAGTTACTAGTTGTTAATAGGTAAACTGAGCTCATAAAATATTTTTAACGTACTTGCATTTGTTTGTTAATTAATACAATAGATGATCCTCTATTGTCCTGCAATAGAGCATACACAGTCATTCCACAGGCCAGGCAAGTATGTAGAGTCCAACGTCCCACCACACTAGTACCAACTAAAATTTGTTGTTCTATTTGAGTTTTTAATATGTTGGCAGGAGACGATAAGAGTTTCTGAAATTAATTATTTAATTTCTATTATTTATGTATTAAAAAAATATTGAATTTGTAGCTGTCATGTCCAAAACATACAACATCTATTAAAACTTCCCTTGTTTCAATGGTTTTATATATTGTACTTCAGCTGAAATTATAATATTCTATTTCGCTCTGTAATTTGATATGTATGCCGGCTACATGCAGTCATTATTACAATCACTGTTTATGAATACCTTATAAAATTCAAGGCTAATAAAATTTTGTTGATAATTTGTTACATTCATTTAAAAACGTGTTTGTGTTCTTGTTTTAAATGAAAACTCATTTTATTATTAGTTTTATTTTTAAATCGCCGATACTTCAACTTGTTTTCGCCTATAGATATAATTATCATCCAAACAAAACTTTATTTGTGTCAAAATAGTACCGCACATGTAGTATGTACAACTTACAAGTTTTAATAAAATTTGCTCATCAATTCAGATTCTCAATCGCATATTTTATTCATTTTTGATACAAATTGTACTTAAAGAATACCCTTTGATATAAGTCAAGGCNATCGCCGATACTTCAACTTGTTTTCGCCTATAGATATAATTATCATCCAAACAAAACTTTATTTGTGTCAAAATAGTACCGCACATGTAGTATGTACAACTTACAAGTTTTAATAAAATTTGCTCATCAATTCAGATTCTCAATCGCATATTTTATTCATTTTTGATACAAATTGTACTTAAAGAATACCCTTTGATATAAGTCAAGGCCAAGAGATGTTTACGGACGGTACCTCACTGAAAAAAATATCCCTTTGTTCGCTAGATGTAAGCTCCAATTTTTCACGATCAACATTATCTTCTACTTTATCACTTTCTAACGAAACATTAAGACATTTACAAACAAAGAGAACCATTGTGTGTGAATATTGATGAGACAAAAATACAATAACACTCTTGAATTCAGCAAATAAAATTAATCAACTTTCAGTGGATAAATGCGTAGGTAGATAATTATATTTTTACTTTGTTTGTGTGTGTAATACCTGTTTTTAATTTATTTTGGTGGCTTTTGGTTTCCGTCTTTTAAGCCAAATCCACGCTTGTTTGTGGCAAAAGGATAAGTATCCGTTGGATTAGTTTGATGCGGGTGTTTAAGAGAGATCTAAGTTGAGCAATATCCAACACAGGGGACGACGGGGCAACGTAAAGCTGCCATCGCCTTAAGCATGTCTAGTCGAATCTCCCTTACCCAATCTCGGTACTTGTATGATTTTCAAACACCGGTCACCGTCGTCGTCGAGCTCGTAGATTACGACAAAGACTCCAACGAGATGAAAATAAGAATTAAAATTAAAACAAGACATGACTTAAAGGTCTTAGTTACCAGGTCATAAAATCCTTTAAAAAAATGAGTACGGCTACGTTACGTCAAATATGTCAATTGTCCAAATTGTCAATTTAGAAAATTTCATGCTACACACATGTACCGGACCTATAAAGTAAAATTTTCACAGTAATTCTTATTTTACGCTCACCTGGTTCAATGTGATGAAATAAAACGTAGGTTGTACCTACGTGGCGAGAACAAGTTAAAAATTATTCATAGAAATAAATATTTTTGTCTAGTAAGGTTACGTTAAATTTTACGTTAGGCTTAAGCAAGAAAATCATATTTTCTTAATAGTTCTAACAATTAAAAATGTCTAAAAGAATTCAACCTGCTTGGTCACCTCCGGTTCGAAACAAGGAGCGACCAGTTTTAAAACTTTACAATAGTTTGAGCCGACAAAAAGAAGAATTCATACCCGCTAATGGTAATCGTGTCAACTGGTACAGCTGCGGCCCTACAGTCTACGATGCATCTCACATGGGACATGCGAGGTAACATTATTTTTCAAATAAACCCAATATATTATAAAACCCAAATTGTTAGGTCATTGTAATCATCATAGCGGTTGTGGAATTGTGATCACAGCTGTCTGGAAAACAAGAGTACACATAACCCATATTGGTAAATTATTACAAAATTTCAGATCTTATATGTCATTTGACATACTCAGGAGGGTAATGGCTAATTATTTTGGATATGATATTTTATATGTCATGAATATAACTGATATAGATGATAAAATAATTAAAAGAGCCAGACAAAAATATTTATATGAAAAATATTTAAAAGAACCACGGAACCTTAATGACACCATTGATGATGCAGTCAATGTTATAAATTACTATGAGGAAGCTGTAAAAAATGCAGAAGATCCAGATAAAAAAAAAATGATGCAGAAAACATTGGATGAGTGAGTACATGATGAAATTAATCTATAAAGTTTCATATCAAATAATTATGAAAAATGTGCACAGATATGTGAAAAATATGTACAAATGTGCCTACATGAATCTACAGAATGATGTTCAAGAAATATTATGATGATAAATTTAATTGTTAAAAGTATTTTTCTTTTGTAGTTGTCTCAATCCTTATATACCTTAACTATGCTTGAACATGTGTTTCCATTCAAAGTAAACATACATCATTCAAATGCACAGAATAATTATACCAAAGATGTAAAATATAGCACTATATTGTATTCATTTTTTTAAATTCTAATTTCCTACTGTGCTCCAACCTAACTTTCAATTAACTGTCTAAATATTGAAATTACTTCCAACCCTTTGATATTTTTATGAATTTTATTTGGTATGGATTATATGTTATTTGCTACAAACTTTTCTAAACTAGATCAGATTAACATAAATTGCTGCATAATGGTCGCAGCAAATTTAGATCTTGATGTAGCCATTATAATTTGATGCAAAGATATTTCCTTAGAATCAGAAATGGTTCTGAAATTGGTCTCATTTTACTCAATTTTAAATAAAACAACAGTAAGGTTACCGAGTAACAAATTATCCCAATAAGTCTGCAAGAGTAATATATGATATAATTTCAGGATTGCGGCCTCAGTAAAAGCCCTTAAAGTTGCTATTGAATCAAAAGACAATGAAAGGATTAAGAATTCAAGATGTGATTTATTAACATCAGCAAAGAGTCCAATCTCTGACTGGTTAGATTACAAATATGGAGAAACTGTTACAGACAATGCAATATTCACAACTCTACCTAGGTATTGGGAAAATGAATTTCATAAAGATATGAAAGCACTTAATGTTGGTAACATTTTTATCTTGCTTATTGCTAAATTATATAAGTAAAAATGTTTTGTAATTTGTTAAGCAATTGAAATGATAATTCAATTTCAAATACTCAAGTTTTTACTAATAAAAAAANATGGAGAAACTGTTACAGACAATGCAATATTCACAACTCTACCTAGGTATTGGGAAAATGAATTTCATAAAGATATGAAAGCACTTAATGTTGGTAACATTTTTATCTTGCTTATTGCTAAATTATATAAGTAAAAATGTTTTGTAATTTGTTAAGCAATTGAAATGATAATTCAATTTCAAATACTCAAGTTTTTACTAATAAAAAAAAGGATATACTTTGCTAAGCTGCAAGAGCTGCGGGATGAGAATCCTTATGATATGCAACTTTAATTATTGTTCAAATATTTGTAAAATTTTATGTCATAAACATTGCTTTGTTTTAAGGTATTACCACCGGATGTACTGACAAGAGTAAGTGAATATGTCCCTAAAATAATTGCATACATACAAAAGATTATTAGCAATGGTTTTGCATATGAATCAAATGGCTCAGTATATTTTAATGTGAGTGAGTTTGATGGAAATGAAAGGCATCATTATGCAAGATTAGTGCCTGAGGCATACGGTGATACTAAATCGTTGCAAGAAGGAGAAGGTAAAATTTAATGATATTAATTTTTAAGTGGTGATTAAAACAATAAATTATATAAAATAGTTTGTGTATATAAACAAAAAATGTTCTGTGTTTAAGTAGCTTTTTACTAAGTCTCCGTAAACTATTTTACTGAGGCATTGCTTTTTATAATAATATCTTATCATCTCATTCCATTTAATTTTATCCCAATTTATTACTATTTCTGTTAAGTCAACTACATTTTATTCTACTCCATAACATATTTCATATAATAATATGTATGTGTGTGTGTGTGAGTGTATGTATATAATGATGAAGATTTTATAAACTAGATATCGACAATGGCATTGGAATATGCTATTTTTGAAAAATGAATAGGGTTCCAGGTTCCAAACAGCACTAACCATCTTCTCTATTTAAGTCAGAGAATATGTTATTTTATTTTGAATATTGCATACCATGCGGAATTAGCAGGTTCTCTTTAACAAGTATGTTATTATACTATAATTTCAAATGGTTTTCAGGTGATCTAACTGATGATGCAGCAGAAAAGCGATCACCAAACGACTTTGCTCTATGGAAGCGTAGTAAAGCTGGTGAGCCATCATGGGATTCCCCATGGGGGGCAGGTCGACCCGGGTGGCATATAGAGTGTTCCGCAATGGCTTCGGATGTTTGCGAAAATAAACTTGATATACACACAGGAGGCGTCGATTTAAAATTCCCTCATCATGACAACGAATTGGCCCAGAGCGAGGTGAGTATTATAAAGTAGTAACAGAACACACAGATTATTTTTTAATACATATGTGGGTGAATATGCCCTCGACCTGCCTGGTTTGAAACCAATATACAACACGTAAATACCGCGATCCTTTTGAAGCGTGATGTCGAAGGTCGAATTGTATTACTACTGACCTAGCGTTGAATATAAAATAAAATTTACATATCAAGGGTTGAAAGACTATTTGGTTTAAGTTTATAGGAGAGCCGTTTAAAGTTAAAAAAAATTGAAACCAATATCGTAACAAAAAACTTCTTCAGCTACATATTTGAATGGAGTAAACTTAATTGAAGTTCAATTAAAAACTTTTTTTTATTGCTTAGATTGGTGGACGAGCTTACAGCCCACCTGGTTTTAAGTGGTTACTGGAGCCCATAGACATCTACGACGTAAATGCGCCACCCACATTGAGATAAAAGTTCTAAGGTCTCAGTATAGTTACAACGGCTAGTATAGTTACGTCGTACTTTTGATGCTAATCCCAAATAAAACAGACCTTTCATTACAAAGATAAATGTCGCTTAAACCATATAGCATTTCACCTCTCGATATCTATTTACTAAAATTTGTATCTCCTCCATGATGTCGAATGACAGCACTTCTGGTCCCCTTAACATCGGACGTATAGCGGCCACGCTGACGTCCCATTTATTAAAGAAAAATATTGCTGAGATGAGTGGACCAACTCAAGGCCTACTTGGCCTAGTGGTCACTGGTGCCCATAGACATCAACCACGTCAATGCAGCCGCCCATCTTGAGACATGATTACTAAGTCTCAGTTATTATAGTGTGCTTAGTACGAATTTTTTATTATTCTACGTTGGCCGCTAGGGGCGCTGTTCCAACTCCATACAAATTTGAGGTAACTTTTACGCGATCGAGAACGTTAAAAAACTCGTACTAAGGAAGTACACAGTACAACGGCTTCCACTCTCTTCAAAACGAAACGCATTACTGCTTCACGGCAGAAATAGGTAGGGTGTAGGTACCCCTCCGTGCGGATTCACAAGACATAGTTTTTGTTTAACAATATTTTTTTTAAAGACTAGCTGACCCGGCAGACTTCGTAGTGCCTCAATCGATAAATAAAAGACCTATAAGCTTTTGTATAAAATAAACTTAAAACAAACAAAAGGAGTCCGTCCGACGGAGGATGTATCTAAGTGAAAACAAAAATTATCTACCTTTTAAACCTTCTCTGGACTTCCACAAATAATTCAAGACCAAAATTAGCCAAATCGGTCCAGCCGTTCTCGAGTTTTAGCGAGACTAACGAACAGCAATAGATTATTGATAGTATTTATTCGTTCACAGGCACATTTCGACGAGCCCGGTTGGGTTAATTATTTCCTTCACACGGGACATTTGATGATAGCTGGCTGCAAAATGTCGAAATCTCTGAAAAATTTCATCACGATCTCGGACGCACTGAAACGCCACACCGCAAGACAACTGCGGTTCGGTTTCCTGCTACACGGATGGAAGGAAACTTTAGATTACTCTGAGAATACAATGGAAATGGCCATTCAGACAGAAAAACAATTTAATGTGAGTTAATATCTATACACAATTCTAGGAGCAAAAAAATCAATACAGTTAATTTCATGGTGTGTCTTCTGTCACCACATTCTTTGGCATCGAGATCCGAATGTTGTTCACTGTCACATCGTCTTCTCGCATTAAAACGGTATAATCTCAAAACTTACCAAATTTTACAGGAGAGTGCTTTAAAGGGTTAACATGTGATATTTTTAATATGAATCGAATCACCTTGGCAACATTTATTTTTTACCAGTTACATTATCGGTCTTTTAAAGTAAGATAAAATTATGTATTAATTTTGTTAACAGTAGTCAAAATATAGGTAAACAAAAAAAAAAAAAAACTAAACTGCGCTCTTTTGACAGTATTTATGAGAAAAATACTGATGATACCAAATGATTCGGCATATTAACTCAATTTCGATTGTTTTTGGAAATTGTACACTTTTCATGCGAAAAGACGACATGTCAATCTGTCACACAAGCAATATATCTCTGTATTCGACCTTCACTTCATTGCTTATCACGCATAACATTCACTTCATAAACTTTTAATCGTTACCCATGATCACACGTATGAGCCACGTCGACTGATTCTCAATTTATCAATTACAATCATTTTAGACATCATCTGACCAATACACTTGTTTATTTTCATTTGGGTCTCAGGGTGGAATTCTTTTTTTATTGCTCTTATATGCAAACGAGCATACGGCACACCTGATCGTGAGTGGTTACTCGTAGCCCATGGACCTCAGCAATTCCAGGGGCAGAGCCAAGCTGCTGCCTACCGCAGAATTCAATTTGAGACGACTGAAAAAAACTCTCCTCGATTGTGCTTTATAACTGCTATGAAATGTTTTGCTTTCAACGAGAATTAAAAGGATTTCTCAGTGTAGAGCAACAACCTGACCGTTAGGGATACTGGCGATGTTGTATAGTGACCATTCACCAGCCAGTGAGCCGTATGCTCGTGTACCTTTGAATACATTAAAAAACAAAATTAAACTAATAAGCCCAATATTTTACCTTTTTTTTATTGCCCGTATAGGCAGACGAACATACGGCCCACCTAATGGTGAGTGGTTACCGTCGCCCATGGACTTCAGCAATGCCAGGGGCAGAGCCAAGCCGCTGCCTACCGCTTAAAACTCTCCACAAATCTCGTTTGAAGAAGGATATGTCATAGCGCTCTGGAAACACCGTGGAGGGGAGCTCATTCCAAACCCGGATTACATAATTACATACACTAAATACTATTATGTAAATACAATTATTCGTCTCGCCAAAACTTCTCATTACTTTGAAATAAATAATAGGAATTTCCTTTTTGTCATACATTTTGGTGGTAACACAGCTAGTATAAAACTTCAGTCAAATCTCTAAGAAACATGAAATATGTATTGCGAATTTGCGAAGCGATAAGAAATACACATATTTTTCGAACTCGAATAATCACGGTAAAGGCTACACACCGATATTTAATAATGTTAATCTTACGAAATATGTTGTGCTAATTATGTTACCAAAAAAAAAATTATGTACCAAAAAATGCACTTATGTGAAAAAATATAGTCTTTACGTGGCTTTAGTTGTACCATAGTCAAACTTATTCAGTGGTTTTTAATTCCCGATCCATTAACGGTGCTTTTAGGTGCCACAATAACCGGTCACCGTCCTCGTCGAACCCGTCGCTTGCAACGAAGGGCTCGACGAGCGAATGAACCCACAGACACAGCCCACTGAGTTTCTCGCCGGACCTTCTGAGTGGGTCGCGTTTCCGATCCGGTGGTAGATTCTCCGAAGCACTGCTGTTGCTAGGGCCAGTGTTAGCAACACACCTGTTTGAGCCCCATGAGCTCACCTATAAGTTAGGGCGAAGCTGAAATAGCCTCTCAAGGTTATCAGCATAAGTAGGAAGAAAAAAAAAAGGTTTTAACTTCGATTTCATTTGTTGATTTTTTCCTTGTCTAATAGCGTAGTTACATTCGCGTACAAAGCAAAAATGTTTTTAATTCAATGAGAACAACATTTCAGGAATTCTTTTTGACAGTGAAAGATGCTCTTCGTAGCGGCTACGACGAGGGTTGCGGCGGTGGATGGGAACCGGAGGAACAGCGGCTGTTTGCTAAACTGTCAATGGTCAAGGAACAAGTTCACGCGGCACTCTGTGGTACACATTAACGTCTTCTCGCATTAAAACTGTATAATCTCAAAACTTATTAATTTTACAGGAGAGTGTTTTAATGGGTTAACATGTGATATTTTTAATATGAATCATCTTGGAAATTTTTTTACCTGTTACATTATCTTTCTTTTAAAGTAAGATAAAATTATGTATTAATTTTTGTTAATATTACTCAAAAATAGGTAAACTAAAAAAAAAACTAAAACTAAACTACGCTCTTTGACAGTATTTATGAGAAAAATACTGGTTATACGTCTATTTCGAAACTTTTTGGAAATTTTACACTTTTAATGCGAAAAAGCGATTTATGCCTTTATTTGTCAAAATATTTTATACTGGTATTCGATACTAATGCACGAATTTTGAAGGTAAGTTCATCTGAAAAAATAATCGTACTTATCTTTAAGACATATGAAGAGTTCATTTATTTCATTAAATCACTATGTTAGACATTTTATGTGTACATACATCTTAAGACATATGAAGAGTTGACTAAATCACTATGTTAGACATTTTATGTGTACATACATCTATATCTCTTACTATTTTATGTATGTAAATGTGACAGTAAATTATTGTTTACCATAACATTTCTACAGCTCAAAACTCCGCCGTCTTTTAGTATAATTATGTACATTATATTTGTATGTCATTATTCTAATTTAAAAATTAAACATAATTTCTGGTATTTCGAATATAATAATCCAATGATTTCATATGTTTATTTTCTACGACGCGTTGTATGTTTTTTTTTTTTTTTTTTTTTA